TTCTAAGAGAACATCCTGGAATACACTTGCAGTTAGTCACTGTTTGTATTACCCAGAGCAGTGAGCATCATGGCATCTAATGCATCAGAATATTGATTCAAATTAATCAGTAATATATTCCTCCTGAAACTTTATGCTACATGACAACCAAAACAGTGCGTAGATTATAAATACCTCTCAGAAGCTAAGTTTCCATGAAAACTGACTTATGCTTCTAAAACTGGGTAACTACTTGTGAAATAGAGGCAGGAGAGCATAACCAGCAAACAGAATTATGAACAGAAGGTCAGAGGTACATGAAGAAGAAGGTGAGGTCAGTAAGAAACAGTTCACACTGTTCAGGACCTGTTTGATCACTTCACTCTTTCAGGGCTGTGGAAGTTCTGTGTTTCTAGCATACCTTCACTTTCCGGAATGTAAATGAGTCTACAGCTGGATACTTGGAAATTTAGATCTTGTCCTGTGGTTGGTTTCTGTCAGCAGCATTTTGTGGCTTGGGAAACAATAATGCAGCCCTATAAGAGAAACACTGAGTGTAGTCCAGACTTTCGTTAAGCAACAGATTCTCTCTAGTTAATATATAGATCTGAGCTTGTCTGAAGTCTGAAAATACATCATTCCACAATTCTGAGCTATTGTCACCTGTGCTTATTCCAGATTTTAGATATTTGAGCCAACTTCTTTGTTACCATAAGTTCGGTGAAAGTTTTGTTGGGTGGCTCTGGCCTGCTGAAACAAGACTGAGAAGTATCTGATCAATGCTGATCAATGCATTATAATGTATTGCTTCACATTAAGATGTTAAACTCTGGTCTTATCTATAGCTTGTGGTAGAGAGATCATCATGGCTGTTATGGCTGATGCTTTGGTGAAAACAGGCTTTGCTGTTGAAGGCTGTGTGGAGATTATAGCTATATGCACTATAACTGATGCATTTGTCCTTGCAGTTGTCAGCTTACCAGTCCAATCCATCATTCTGTACACTGCTTGGAGGTTATGCAGAGGCTAAAAGGAACAATCTGTTATCTGCTATAACTTTCTTTTGGGAGTGAGGTTTCACAGAATCCCAGGATGATTAAGATTGGAAGGTACCTCTGGAATCGACTTGTCCAGCTTTTCTGCTCGATGCAGGGTCAGCAAGAAGAGGTTACGCAGAGCTATTTCCAGTCAGGTTTTGAATATGTCCAAGGACAAAGACTTGTAACATTTATGAATATCTTCTTCAATTGTTAAATTACCCTCAGATTAAGCAATATTTTTCTTGGCTTTAAATGAGATCTCTTGTATTCCTATCTGTGCACATTACTTGTTTTTTCATTAGATATTACTGTCTGCATGTCTTGACTTGATACTCTTCCACAACATAAAAACATTGACAAAATCCTCTGTGAGCTTTCCCTTCTCCAGGCTAACTAGTCCCAGTTTTCTCAGCCTCTCCTCGTACATCAGATGTGTCAGCACCTTAATAATCTCTGTGGCTGTTTGCAGGGCTCACTTTGGTAAGCTCGTGTTTTCCTTATGATGGAAAGTCCATTTGGCAGAAAAGCACAGTTAATGCTTAGGTTGAAAAACTGGTTTGTAGTTGAGAATCTTCTTTATCAAATAGTGTTATTGTGCTCTTTCTATCTATTGTGCTTTCCATGGAATTAAATAGAAGGTGTTGCTTCCAGAATGACCTACATAGGTCTTACTGTTGCCAGAAAACCCATATTAAAAGATCTTCTGGTGCCTGTGTTTTTGTTTCATTCAGGGTGTTGTATGGAAAGATGTGGAGATCAGAGTCTCTATTTTGGCATGGGATGACAGCAGAATTGATTCTTATCTTTATTTGACCATGGGTCTCTGTACTGATCCAGTAGCTATTTTAGTGTCCCTAATAAATCTACCAGTTAGTGTCATGTTCAGATCTTTTATTTTTGTGTCCACGAAGAAATGGTCTAATACTTGGGAATTCATTTCACGTGAATCTGTGAATCTCAGGCAGTCTATTGTAGAAATTGGTTTGAATATATTTTTTTATGAAACTGGACTTGAGTGAATCTGCCTCTTCCAGTCTTGCGTTGCAGTGAAATAAAATACCTGCTTGGCAACAGCTCTGTGAGTTAATAAAGTTTCCGTGGTAAACTATGAGAAGCCTGAGAATTTCAAACTAAAGTTATTGCGCCAGTAACTCAGAAAAGCAATTCCTAAAACTCCTGGCACATTTATCCAGAGGGTTAGCAGTAGCACAGAAATGGAAATCATTGTTGAGAGCCACTGCGTACTTGGAATTAAAATCCATCAGTCTTCTGAAACTGAGGAGAACAATTTTTGTGACATATAGATGCTTCTGTAGTTCATAACAAAAATTAGATCTATGGCTGTTTTCTATCCTATTTGTAGGGAAATTCATATCCTTAATCCTTGTAATATACCTAACTTGGGATGACATCAAAAGAAATAACGCATGCATAAAGAAGGTAGGCATTTAAGCCACTTTCAGTGCTTCATTTTATTTAATTTCAGTAAAAATGGAGTTAGCCATTGGATGAGGGGGATTGGGAAAGGAGAGGATGCTAAGCATCACCTTCTGAAGCTTCTCAAGCATAGAAGTCAAAAGAATGTGGAAAATAGAAGATTCATAAAACTTAGCCGTCTTGATGTTGGAATTGGAGGGGAGTGGAGAAAGGAACATAGTAAACCACAGGGAAAAAAAATCAAATTTCATCAGATAAGAGTTGAACAGTTAGTATTGTCAGGGCTTTTTTGCAACCCTTGCTTAGGACTTTTATTTAGGTCTTTAACATACCTGTTGGAGCTTCCTTGCCTGATGGGAATTTTGTCATATTGAACAGGGTGTAGTGACACTGCTGTGTTTCTACTGAGAAACAGAATGTGCCTACTACTGCTGGGACACAGAAAAGTCTCCTAGCTATTAGTGGTGTAGAGTTAGAGATTTTGTACTGATCCTTGCTTGTAGCAGGCACAAATAGTTGTTGGTGCAAATGGTTCAGTGAGGGAAGGACAGGGAGAGACACACACATGAATACACATAACCCAATGCATAGTAGAATGATAGGAGTTACTTGATAAGGAAACGTTTCTGTTTCAAGAGGATATTGTGAAAGAACAACAAAAAATGTGTTGCCCTGACCAATTACATGAACAAAAACCAGTATTCCTCAAAAATGCTCAATTTTGAGTCCTTGAAATCAACTTAAAGAAACACAGTAAGTTTTTGTTCTCATCTTAAAATTTGCAGCTGAAGCAATAAAAGATGTTTTGTAGTAGGCTTTATAATTACCTGTTGTCTTGTTTATCTCCAGTTACAGTATGCTAAGAGATGGGGTTTTTTGCTTGGTGCTGTTTTTTTTCATGTAACAGAAAAGAAAAATGAAGAAGTAGATTAGCAATGACTTGAATGGATTCGCAAAGAATTTCTCATCTCTGTGTTTATGGTGAGCAACCAGGCAGCAGACAAGCTGGCGTGAAATGGATGATGGTCATTCTGTAGCTGCTGAAGCTTCCTGTTGGAAGGCATCCCTTCACAAACGGTGCCATTAAGTGTTTTTACTGGCAGCCTGTGCACAGTTTAAAAAAAGAAAAGAAAAAAAAAAAAAGAAGTTAAATGGGCCAGAGAGCATTACCATTGTTATTTTATTCCTAAAAACTGTCAAATATGTCAGGTTGGAAAGGACAGAAGGATTGAGCCCAAGTCCTGGCTCCACACAGCACCGCCCAAACCTTGTGCTGAGAGTGCTGCCCCAACAAAACCCTGAGCTTCGCCACTGGGGCTGTGCCCACTGGGCAGCCTGTGCCATGCCCACTGCCCTCTGGGGCAGAGCTTTTCCCTCACCTCCAGATCCATTTCTGCAAGGCAGCTCTCCAGCTGCTCTCATCCCTCAGCCTGTACATATGTCCAGGGCTACCCCATCCCACGTACAGAATCTGGCACTGCTCTTTTTAAACTTGTGCATTTGGTGACTGCATAGCTTTCTGATGTGTCTAGATCTTCTGTCTCCCCATGTTCAGTTAGGTGAGTAACCCTGTCATAAAAGTAGATCAAGTTGGTTAAACAGGACTTCGCCTTCATGAACCCGCACTGGCTGTGACCTTTGACTGCAATATCTTTCAGGCGTTTTTCAGTATCTCCTAGAATAATCTTTTCTATAGCATTACCAGGCACTGAAGTGAGACTGACAGGCAGATAAGCGTTACAGCACATTCAGGAAAAGACAGATATTTACTACCTGTATTTAGACATGTCTTACTGGGCACAAGAGTAGTCAGATGTTAAGTCAGAGGTGATGTGTATGAATTGGTAACTGAGCATCTAGGTGCAGTTCTTGTGCTATCTGGCAAGATGTCTCAGATGGAGCTGCAGAACCAGCTGATTAGGCACTAGAAAATGGATATTGAAGAAAGCAAACAAATTCTGTCCTCTCACATCTCAGAGAGTAAATTAAGCTAGGAGAAATTGTATGTTTTAGTTGCCGTGCTTCCTGTCACCTGTACCAGCAGTGCAGTGCAAGCCTTTGAGACTGATTCATATCCTGAGTCCGACTGTAACAGCCTTTGCCAGCAAGGAGCAGGGGAAGTGATGCTTAGGGGGGGGTATGCACATGTGCTACAGATTTCACAGCTTGCTGTGCAAAGAAAGTTAAGCTTCCTTAAAGCAGCAGGTGACATTTGCAAGAAGTTCAGGAGCAACGCATGACAGAACACCCACTATTTAGCTGGGGTTTCCACATTTAGCTTTTTGGAAATCTTGGTGCTTAGAAGCTTGGTTTTGCAAAATCCCTGGGAGGGGAGTCCCTGACTGAGCAGCACTGTGAGAGGATGGTGGTGGGGCTACAGTATGAATATACTTGTGTATATCTATATACACAAGTATATATACTTGTGTATATTCATACTATAAACATGTGGAGCTGTTTCTCTGGAGGCTTTTGCCTCTGTAAAGTAACCTTTCTTATTGCTTTTCTCCTTTGTTATTTCCTCTCGCTGCATGATGAGAGCAGATGGGTGCTGCTTCAAAGAAGAGTTGGACATATAGAGAAACCATTTCGGATCTCATTGGAGTACATTGCTAATGGGAACAAGAGCATAGCAGCTGTGGATTCCTTTGCAATGAAGAACTGCACTACAGGTAATGTACCTTATTTTACTGTTTCTGTCTTACAACGTTTTTTGGTGTCTTTTTTGGAGAGGACCATAATTTCTGGCTGTTAAAGAACCTTCACGGAATTAAAGTTTGTCAGATCAGTCATTTAAACAAAAGGTAGGATACCTTCCAGGGAATAGTTTTGCTGATGTTGTATTAGAAGTTCTTAACCTCTTGAAAGAACCAAGACATTTTTTTTCCTGTTTTGGAAAGAAATCCTAGAGAAATTCCATTTTGGAAAGCACAGATGAGTACTCTTCCTGGCTTGCCAGATGTATATCCTGACAACTCCAGTTTCTGCAGCGGAAGATAGAACAGATGAGTGGTGCCTAGAAAGATATCTTGTAAGCCATCTTATGGATGTTCCTGGTAATAATTTGAGTCATTTTTTTTTTTTTTTTTTTTTTTTTAAACAACTACCATGAACTTGGCTTTATAAAATGCATGTTTTGTTGGAAATGTTCCAAAGCAGTTCTTGCAGAGTTACCCCTAAAAGAGCTCAATACAGGGCATGAAATTTTAGTAATGGACAACCTTAATGGGAGTTACCTTTTTAAATACAAGCTTAGTTATCAATTTAAGTATGTAAATTTAGTGCTTTGTGTCAGAAGCACCTGCGTTTTAGTTCTGCCATCTTTATGGAGCTTGTGAATCATACTGAAATCTTTAGGTGGCGTGTCAGTGAAGAATGTTATTACTTTTAGCACTTAACACATTACTTTTTGTCATTTTTATTTACTTGGAATACTGCAGAGCTACATGTCCTCCTTTTCAGCCTTCTAGAACAGGGAAACTTGTTGGAGAGTATATGCGGTTTTGGTTATTTACTTTGCTCTTCACAATGGCAGGTTGTATTAAGAGGTTTATTGAACTGTCCATACATAAAGATGATCTCTAGGCTCCAACAGTGAATGCTTGACTTTGTGCTGGAAGTGCAAGGCAAATTCAGATAGAATGCACCTGCTTTTCTGCTTACATATGAAACACATCTTGATATCTCTGTGAGGATGAAAATGACGTGTTGCAACTCTACAAAACAAAGTAAATAGGACAGAAATCGTTGAAATCCATAGTGTTTGGGAATATGTTGCAATGAGCTATGGGAGATGTTCAGCTGCTGTGAAAGTACATAGATTTTTTGCTAGGGAATGCCTGAAGGAGAGCCATCAGTGATGGTTAGGTGAAAGACCAGCACTGTTTGCTGAGTGAAAGATTAATGTTTTAGTGAGACTTCTGTTAGAAGCTCACACCAATACAGGACACACAATCACAGAATCACAAAATATCATTCCCAGTGGGGAAGTAGGACTTGTGGGTTGAGATAAAACTATTTGCTAAGACAGAGAAAAGGGAAAGAATAATTGTCATGACAAATGTGTGTGTGTGTGTGTGTATGTGTATATATATATATATATATATATATTTCCTGTAGATCCACTTTAAGTACTGGAAGGCATATGTAAGGTCTCCTTGGAACCACCTCTAGAGTAAATACATCCAACTCTCTCAGCCAATTTTCATAGGAGAAATACTTCATTCCTCAGAGCTGAACTCGATGCTCCAGGTGGATTCTCACAAGAGCAGAGGGGGAGAATTGCTGCCTTAGATCACTTAGATACACTTCTTCTGATGCAGCCCGGGCTATAATTGACTCTCTGTGCTGCAAGAGCATTTTGACAGCTCATATTCAGTTTTTCGTCTAGCAGTACTCTCCAAACCTTTCTCTACGGGAGAAGCAGCAGTTCTGAAGATGACGGAATTCAGTTGCTGAGGCTGTTAAAGTCTATTGTGAGCACAGGAGGATGAAATGTCCTTTTTTATCTACAGATTTCTAGCAGTTGGCTGTTCTTCTACTCTGTTTACAGCACAAGGTATATAAATTATACCACTAGAAAATAAACACACATTATTTTTTCCGTTAGCTGAAACTGTTCAATGTTATGCGTGCAAGTAAATATGTAGTACTGTGCACACTTATTAGAAAGGAAGTAGTAATGGGCAAGCAAGGTGGCACCTGAGGCTTGGGAAATAGGGAAAGCTGTGTGAAAAGATTCATCTGCATCTAATTTTTCTTTGGCTGTTTGAGGCTCTAGGCAGTTTAGGTAATAGGATACCTTAATGCCACTGAAGAGTCTAAAACATGCCTGATTTGGGGAAAGAAACACCTGAGAAATAGTAATAACCCTTCAGCCTGACTTTACTAAGCCTTTTAAAGACCTGTATACAGTTTAAAAACAAATTAAGGGGCATTTTCTTAGGAAATTAGGCTGCTATTTCCATGGTTGAGTATGGATTTGAATCTAAATTAGATGCAATAGGGGCATGAGTAAGGTGGAGGTTTGGGGTTGGAGTTTGCTTTAGAACATGGAGAATTCCATTTTGTGAATTCTTTTGTCAAGGAAAAAATAGGACTTTTGCATCTGAAGTGAAAAAAATAGAAGTGTATTTGGAATGAAAATTAACAAATTAAAATTCTGGTGCTGATCCTGAAGCTTTTTATATTTCTAAAGTCAAAAATTCATCTAGCTAAAAAATATTGATTAGAAATAGATTTCTACCTAATTCTCTGTGCTTCCCTTTCTTTTTCATTCAACAGATTAGAAAATCAAAGTGATTTGTTACTTGAATATCTTCACATTATCCAATTCCTATATACAATCAGTCTTGATCAGGTTAGGCTGATAGGAAAAATGAAAACCCATGCAAATTGATAGATTTTATTTCATTGTTGGTTTTAATGCTCAGGATGAACAGTAAAAGTGCTTGGTGCATCTCTTGCCATTGCTGTATATCATCACTGCTGTTATGTTCATGCACTCCATCAAGGCTCTTGGATATTTTAGCATCTTACCTGGATTCACGATTTTAATACTTTGTTTGTTTGTTTATTTAAACAGAAAGTTTTCCTGTGGCATGGGATAAGATTTTGGTTAGGAAACTCCTATTATCAATAAAAATGCTGCTTGAAATTACACAGGTTTGGGATCAGGCCAATTAACAGGTAGCATTGCCCTTGGTCCTACATCCAATTGACTTTCAATTACTGTCTTAAGCAGGTTGTGCTTGTCAGTGTCTAAAACCTAAACTACTGATTGTCTAATTTTCTTTCTTACAACTTACTATTTAAATAAGTGCAGTAATCCATGGGTGGTTTGGGGGGATGGAAATCAGGGAAGAAATATACCTACTTAATGTAAGTTACAAATTTGTTCCTTCTACAAGTAAAATAATTGGTACAGTGGCATTTGATAGTTGATGGTAATTTCTAGTAATAAAAATAGAGCTAATTTCCTAAGTAATGTATCGACTTATTAATGATATTTAATGGGTTTCTTTCTATTTTTATTGCTGTTGTAAATTAATTAGTTTGCTAACTTATTTCCAAAAGTCTTAATTAAAGTACTTAATAGTAAGCACAAGTAAATTACAAGACATTGTTTTACTTAGCAGCGCTTGATTTACCAATTCTAAGTAACTTTTTAAGTAAGGAGTATGAAGTTCAAATGCTTCTAGAATGTGTTAAAGGTTTAATGATGCTCTGAGGCTGTTAAAGTGGTTATTTCAGACACTCACTACGTCCAAGAGAAAGCACTTAGCTATAAGGTTTTCATGCTTAGTAGGCAACATAAAAAACGTATTTATTTTGAAGTGGGGAGAGAATGTGTGGTGTTGATTTCTTAAATTAATGCTTCTGTCCATTCAGCAATAGCTTTTTCAGGAGATACTAAAAGTACATAGAAATACACTCATTACCTTTGGGTGCTGGTAAGTAGTTCTGTAATGATCCTCTAGCTGTAACGCTCATGCAAATTTCTGAAAGTTGAAGTTAAGGTTATATAAAAGCAAAAGCATTGATCCAAAGCAAAGCAATTGTCAAAAGAGAGAGGTTTTGGAGACATAGAGGTAATTTTACTTGGAAAAAAAATTTACTTGGAAAAGAGATAGTGAGGGAAGAGTAAAGATTGCAGGCTTGAAACATGTGTGAAGAACTATGATTTTTCCATGATTCTTTTTGATAAACAGTCTAGCAACAGACTTATTAATTGACTTAGTAGATCAATACGTGTTTCTTTTTTCAAACAAGATTGCTTATGCATCTAAATCACTAGTAAAATTAATAATGTATTTATGAATTCATATAGTAACTGAATGTTTATCATTTTCCCATGTATACTTGCTTTCTGCATTTTGTCTTATAAATTAATTGTCAGGATGTTGTGGTTAGCTGAACTGAGGGAGATACCAGATTTTGGAAAGAGAACCTTTCCAAAATGAGTTCCTAATGCTTTCTACTGGAATACTACTTAGAAAAGTTAACCTCTTCTAGACCAAAGAAATAGTATTATAGAATCATCAAGTATGAAGAATACTTTCAAAATCAAGTACACCTATTAACCTGACCTAACATGTCCCATTGCTAAACCATGTCCCCTTGCCATGACACACAGCTAACTTAGATATTAATAATTCATATTTTTGTATAGTCTTTAAATAAGTAAAACTCAGTAAAATTTGTAAGATGTTTGCAGAAAATTTATGAGACAACTAAATTATGAATAGTTATTTCCTTAATTGTAATTAAGGGACCTGTACTTGCAGGGGGAACCCAACATGTAATTTTCTTTGGTTCCACCACTACTGAGAATAGTAAACAAAACAGTGAGCACAGTCAGCATGGGTCCATTGTTACAAAAACTGAAAAGCAGACATTAAAAAACATAGTGCTTCATTTCAGAAGTAGCAGTCTCTATTTGAGGCTCAAGATCAACATTTATCATAATGACCAACATGTACCATCTTTACTAATTACATGGATGGTGCAATTGTGTGCGCCCTCAGCAAGATTGCTGATGATACTAAGCTGAGTGGTGCAGTTGATACAGTAGAAGGAAGGGATGCCATCCAAAGTGACCTGGATGAGCTTGAGAAGCGGGCCCATGGAACCTAATGAGATTCAGCAGGTGTTGCACTTTGGGTTGAAGCAG